CCTACAATATAGAATATTGTATACAATATAGCCTGAAAGCATCCACAGAAGATGTTATATATGACTGTCTATCCAGTTAAGAGCCCATTCACCCTTGTGCTGAGTGTCTTTGGTCTTTTTTTTAGCTTTTGTTCAGGCGTTTTGAGTGTTTGTGTACCTGTTTCAAGCTCAAGTTTTTTTTTCACTGTTAGCCAACGGAAAGCTAGTTACTAGGCAAGAAAATTCAGAAAATGGTGCTCCCATTAAAGTCTATTGGGGCTCATGCTTTTTTATTTTTTAGCCATTGGAAGGCTATTTACTAGGCAACAAAATCTGTAAAAACTGGCACTCCCATTGAAGTCTATTAGGCCTAAACCACACGAATCTGCCCCAAAAGAAGCTCATGTAATTTTTTGAGCAACAAACTTCAAGCGCCATTGCGCTCATGTGTAAATGGACACCACTGAATATAATGCAAATCCTAGTGTCGTGCATTGAAGCGTTTCTGGTGACGCTTAAAAACGCTCAGGTGTGAATTGGGCCTAGGGCATTATACAGGGTCCTCCAGACACATTATCCAGTGGGCTCAGTAGAGCCACAGGTCCAACTTGCATGGGAAAAGAAGGGAGCAGGGAAAGGAACATAAACCAGCTCCACACTTGTTCTTTGCTCATATGAATGTTTTTTATAGACTCCACCTCATTTCCAAACATGTAACATGATTATTTCCAATTATATTGTGAGGTTGCCTGCATTTACATCTAGCAATAACACCGCACAGCACAGTCAAGACCTGAAGCGAAAGTGGTTAAGCCTGCCTGTGTCCTGAGCTGTAGGGGATCTCGAGACTCTTCTCAGAAGCCTATTCAACCCCTTTTCATGTTCAGTATTTCTGCTGGATTTCTTGCATACCGGTAGTTGTACAGAAGTGGCCAAACAGATCAGAAATAAAATAAAAAATAACTGGAAACGCTGCATAAAATGTGTCCCTGGCAAAACCCAGAAGTGACCTAAGGGAAATTAGGGGTACTTAGTAGACAATTACTTTTATAAAGAAGAACATAGGCTGAACTACAGGCTAAACAGCTAAATTCACAATAGAATGTATACAGGATATGTTAGCTGTTGTACCAGCCAAAAAAGCTTTGTAATTTTGATCAGCTAGTCTTTGCATTAAGGCACCACTGAAAGACATTATACCTTGATCTCTCTGCAGACACTCTGTCATTATGCAGCAGTCTGGTCCAGGACCCAACCCAGCCTGTAATTGGATAATGATGGTACAGCTGCAGATTGACAAGTACTTTTCTCCAGAAAGCAGTATTAGGCAATAGAGCCTTAATTGGCTCTGAATGCAGGAACTGCCTTACTCAATTTGAGGGATTACAAGATGCTAATATTCAAGCTGAAGTTGAATCCTCTAATAGTTTGCATTCCCTGGCTCCTCATTTGGCACTTGCTCTTGCAATCCCCACCAGTGGAGCATGTGACAGCGTGACAACACAAGAGCAAAACTGGAAGAGCGTTGCCACCCAATACCAGGAAGTGTCTGAACAAAGAGCTTCACGGCAGGATCACCAGGTATTATGTTAATGAAATTCCATTAACATGTTCAAGCTTATTTGAGATTTTAGTGATTGGGGTAAGATCTAATTTAAGGGTTCAAGTGCAAAGAATCAAGCCAGAGGGTCAGCATAATAGCAAGTTAAAGTGACATTAAAGTCACAATTTTTTTCTCCCTGCCTAGTGCTGGTTTAAGACTTACATTAAATGATGCCTTTTGATCCGATCATCTTCTTCCTTGCACTTGTTTCATAGCGCTGGTGCCGGTCTCTGATCCAGAGCAGACTCCTCGTGTCCCAAAGTGTCTGTCTGACGTGCATGCCCATTGCTGCGTGCATTGACTCTCACCGTGTCTCTCCTCTTCTCCCCGCTAGTGATCTCTACTGCGCATGTGCCCACACTCATCCTCCAGTATGACCATTCGGGGAGGCTGATTTTTACAGCCGGGAGCGAGCGGCGGGGACAGAGGTTCGTTTTTATCTGTTTGGTAACTTTTCTATTTTTTAAAAATGTTTTTGCAAACATCTACTGCTTGCTAGCAGTATGTATATAAAGGAAAAAAATACTATTAGACTTTATTACAACTTTAAGTCGCATCTGGATGGAATTCACCAAAGGCAGCTTTCATAATTCTCTCAGCCATTGGTTCCTTTAAGAATCTGGCAGTGCACTAAACTTTTTTATGGCCACAAAAAAAATATATAATTTTACAGCGAGCCTTTCTGTTAATTTTAAGCTAAGTATTTCTGTAATATAAACAAATAGAAAAAGGTTTGTGTGTTAAAATCTTATTTCTGCTGCAAATGCAGAGTGTTTTATCTGGCCCTGTGACTGCATTATTTTGTTCCTTGTTTGCACGGGGTGTAGAAGAAAGGCTCTTTGATGTGGATGCAAACTACTCCGTTCCCAGACATGATGGTGGAATCTTGGGGGAAAGAAGGCCACTTAGTGAATCTATTGCAGTGTTATATACTTCAGTATATAATGAGGCATATGTGTAATATCTGCAGTTAATGTGATGGGACCTTTGCTCGTGTATGCTAAATATAGACAAAGTAGCACACATGAGCATGCAAAATGAATTACATGGCTCAGCTTTGGTTATTCAACTCAGCAGTCAAAAAAGAAATAGATTAATAAATCAGGATATAAGCGGAACATTTCAGGGACCGTTAAAAGACAAAGACATCATTAAATTGGGGTATATGTGTGTCTCCAGGCACAGAAGGTGATAGGGCCCAACCACAATGGTTTTTCCCATTTTACCAACTTTGTGTTCACAGCACATTTTGAATATGATAGATCAGTACATTGAACAAAAGGCAGCTATCCTCTATTGGAGGGTGCGCCCCTATTGTGGTGCATGTTCAGGGGTGGGGTGGGGTGGTGGTGCAAGGTACGTTTGTCCAGCGTCCCACCCAGTTCACTTTACTGGTTGCCAGGATCTTGGTGGGACACCAGCCAAAGCTTCCGGCAACCAGTGATGTCAGTGAGCTGGGCGGGATGCCGACTAGACCATTACAGGTGCCAAGAGCTCTTAGCAACCAGGGATGCCCTGGCTGGAAAGGGGGCAGCAGGCACACCATACGCCCCCCTCCCCCCACCCCACACGTGACCTAATAAAGGCCTCAGGCTTCAGTCCTGACTGAATTAAAGTGACATATGGACATATGGCAATACCGCAACTCTCAAGTGACGAATAGTTTCTGATCATTTAAGGCAGCAGTAGGCAAACTCAGCACTTCAGCTGTTGTGGAACTACAAGTCCTATGAGGCATTGCAAGACTGACAGCCACAGGCGTGACTCCCACAGACAAAGGCAAGATGACATTTCACCACAGCTGGAGGGCCGAGGTTTCCTACCTTTGATCTAAAAGGTATTCCTTGACGTTATTCTTAACTAACTTACCTTTTTTATGTTCTGTGGCAAACACAATGGCATCCATATAGGAACAAGATTCAAACCAAACCAAAATTTTCACCTGAGCGAAAGGTTATATTTCATACATCTTCCTTCCAACTAACAATGTTATGTCAGCATGAAAAACTGTCACAAACCAACCTTGGAAATAAAAAATGAGCATATGGTATGAGTAATAAGTAAAAGTTTACCTTCAGTGAAAACTGCATGCCAAAATGACCGTTAAACCCTTATTAATAGGCAGCTAAAGTTATATGCAATTTTTTTTCTCAAGCTTAGTCTCGCCAAAATTTTTGAACTGGATCATCAAAAGATGTATCAAATCTGAGGTATTATGAAATGGTTTTCATATATTCACTTCATATATTCACAGTCCTCCTATTTAAATTGCTGCAAAATAAGACTCCACTACCAATAAAATGAAAAGGTGTAGGTTTTAATTAAAGTATAAACTGTTTAGCAGTCAGAGATATTACAAATGCCCGTATACAAATACTGTTACATATCTTTGGTTCTGCTGGGTGATGAGGAATGGACTTTTGAAACACACCACACAAGTCTAACCTAAAGCTGTCCATACACTGGTAGATGTCAAGTGAACATTAAAATGAAAAATCTCGTCAGTACATCTAATGATGCCAAAGACTTGGTGAATGTCGTTCGAAATTTTGTTTAGTTTTAACATTTGAATTTGGAAATTAATGGAGTTTTATGAACGAAAATGACATTTACTGAATAATTTTCCATTCTGTTCTATCGATTTGTTTTTATCACTATGGTCAAAATTGATCGTCGACTTGACCTCATTAACTACTTAAAAAAATCAAACAAACGTTTCCGAAAATTACTTTCAAACGAAATTCTACTAGTGTATGACCTCTATTTTACACCTCTCCTCACCATTTCCCCTCAAAAAAACAGACTGTTCTAAGCTGCTACAAAAACTGTGTAATACTAAAGCTCGCCATCAATCAACCAATTACCCCATTCATGCTAAACAGCATGGATGAAGTAATCTCCACTATTTATTAAGCAGTTGGTGGCACCAGCGGCTGCTGAATACCTAAGGAGTAACTGAATCTGATTCAGTAACTGTTCAGTTGACAATTTTCAACCCGGTTACCTTGATCAAACTGACTTTTGTCAAGCCAGGTGGTGCTGATAGGGCCACCCACAGCTCAAATTTTGCAGATTCAGCAGGAAACGGACAAAATTTGAGCAGTGTATGGCCAGCTTTACCCATAAGCAGCTCTGGGTTCCTACCAGCTACTGGTTCCCAAACACATTCATATTGGAAACACATATAATTGCTGTCAAAGATAGAATCTGTATGCAGATGGGGCCATCGAGTGGCTGGCTCTGCCTCAATGTCACCATTTACCACAATGGCGTTTCCCATGGTAGTTGTGTAGTTGTGTTGTGATATCAAACAGGTCAAAGTTACACTTTAGGTTTGCTTTAAGAAAACATGGCAAGAGTCATTGTTTATGGAGAGAAATTAGAAATTCTAAAAATTAATACTGGATTATTCTTATTTTTCAGAAAATAAAAAACCAAAAGCTATATGCAGCTCCTAAGAGAATTAAAACTTCCTTGGCAGGCAGAACACAGACTTGGTCTTGGCTCTGAATAAAGCTGATTCTTGGGTTTAGATACATTCTGCTCTACATGTCCAGTGGTTATAATCCTTTGTTAAAGTAAACATACTTAATTCTGTCTCCATGCTCCTTACGGATAGAATCTTGAAGCTCTGGTTCCAGACTACTAACAGCCATAGAACTGAAAAAGGAAAAAAAAAAAAAGCTTGAGTAAAACAGACACTAAATATTGGCAGACATTAGGGCCTGGAGAAGACACTAAATATTGGCAGACATTAGGGCCTGGACAAGCTGCATTGTCGTCATGGCTATCCGATGGTTTTTAATCATATTCAGTGACCCGGAATAAGCAGGCAGATCAGAAGTCTGACTTGCTGCATACTTGTTCCAGGTCAGTGACTCAAACCACTTAAGCCAGAGACACCACAATAACTACCATTTTTTAAAAAGAGGAGCACAGGCACTTCTATTTCAACAAAATTAAAAGTTAAAAAGTTTTACCATTGCTGTGGAAACAATGAACAGGCCACAGGAACCATGAACAGCAAGCTGCAGAAAGAGAGGACAGAATCAACAATCATCAGTGTAGGTAAAGACCGCAGTAATAACGTCCAGATTAACTTCAAGGTGTGAGGATTACAGTATATCTAAGGCCAATACTTTTTTTTAAGGAAATGTTAAAACCATTATCAAGTGTTTTTTGGATGCCTGTGTCCCATTGGAGAGATTTTCCTTCACTTCCTGTCCTGTAGGCACAAAAGGATGTGAGAGGAAATCTCTACAAAGTAAGGGAAATCCTCTCTTAAACAGCACAACTGTACCCATTGGATCATTTCCCCACTGCTCCTGTTGTACTAATAACTAAAAATTCTGGATTTCCAATCACTTTCAGTCCTATTAACAAAATGTATCTTATTGCTACTCAGCTACTATATCTACAGCTGGATATCCTCAAATAATCTCTGAATTGGTGCTGACTCTGTCCTTCCTTTTGGAGGGTGGCTACTTTTGTTCCTCATGGTCCATGTATGTGTTGTAAAGTAGCCACCGCTCCAAGCTTGCTCCTGTGATGGACTACAATCTCAATTCTAATTAGCAAACTAAAAGTGAGATTGTAGTCCATCATAGGAGCGCGCTTGGAACAGAGGCTACTTTACGAAACACACAGAGGGACCATGGGGAACAAAAGAAACCACCCTCCAGAAGGAAGAACAGTGTCAGCACCAATTCAGAAATTATTTGAGGATCTACAAAGTGATGTATGAGTGATACACAAATAACATACATTTTTGTTTATAGTTAATGTACTTGAATGCATTTTTATGGAGTCTGATCACATATATTGTATACTTACAAACCACCGGCTAATGTAACTTGCAAGGGAGCATGAAGGAAACGGATTTTCTGCAGAAAAAAATGTAAATATTATCCATGTTAATCATATGTTTCTCTATCATGTAATGTAATATATCCATGCATTCATTTATCCATGCACATACTAAGTGGAACTCCCTGAAAATAGTAAGGGCAAATGCCAATGCTCAAGTTTCCATTTATCAACTCCTATGAGTCTAGTAAGCTAAAGCAAATGTAGCACTATAGCCAATAGCAAATAATCAGATTACCTGTTTCATCTGAAACCATACAGGTTCCTATAGGTTAGCTCTCCCTTATGACATATTGGCCACATTAGCAGTTGGGCTACTGCATGCAAGTCTGTGATGCTCCTGTTTTAATAATGCTAAAGGTGAAAAAGCTAGTTTTTATTTCTGCTCTGTATCCAGAAGTCTTAGAGTTGTCTCTCTTATTTTTTATCTGGATGAAAGAGCAGTGGTTTTGCCATTAACTTCTAATAGAAAACTACAGCAAATGCACAGCCTTTGCCCATGACATCTGAATATTTGTTTTATATGAAAGATTAAACCTAATTGGCTGCTATGGGCAAGAGATCTCCTCCTTTAGCTAGTTTCCTTGAATCAGCTTCATAATACTCAGTGAGCCTTGTTATTGAAACTCGATCAAAACAAACAATTGCTTACAGTTGACAATCATATCTGATCTTTCATATTGAGGAAGCAATCCAGCAACTATGGGTAATTGATTGTAGTGTGATGGATCTTATTTATGAGTTGTTGCAAAAAAGGGAAGACTATAATTTGCGCGTTCGTTTTTTCCAGCACAGATTACGGAGTGAAAGCTAAAAGTGTTCACAGACATAAAATGACCTTTGCCCGCCCAGTATCAGTCTTATCGGGAGACAAGGACAAGTCTCTGGGCGTGCCCATTCACTCCAGGTGTGCCCATTCACTCCAGGGATGGAGGGTGGGCACAGTTGGCTCTGTTTCTAGATAGGCAGAGCCAGCTGTCAATCAGCCAGCTGGGTGGATCTCGACAGTATTGTCGGGATCTGTCCCAGTTGCGGCGCTCTCAGCATATAGCAGGCAATAGCCCGCTATATACTGAGTTTTAGGTCACGGGAGGGCACACTATATATGTCCTCCCAAGACCCTGAGGAGAACTATGGATAAAAAAACATTGCCCCATAGTTCTCCTTTATTGGTGAATTTCCTCTGTATTCATCTACTTACTTTCATAAAGGGGAAAGACTCCAACTTCTGCATCAAAATCGGCAGGAGGACTGAAATAAAACCAAAATGTATTACAACCAACATCCATCATAAAAATATTAAACTAATTTAATTGATACTACATAATACATGTGTGCCCATGTGTACATCGTGCAAAATTAACACGCTGGGTGTGCCAGATCATTTGTGACTGTGAATTAGCATTGAGAGAAACAGAATGTATAGGGATTAAAGGGACTGTTCACCCAAAACCAATATTCCAGCTATGGGTGGATGTTCTTCTACCATGTCTTCCCACCAAGGATCAGGAATTCTCACATCTTCAGCAGCATTGTGTGTGTGGTATAAAACACAAGGCACATTGTTTCTGGTGATGAAAAGTCCATCCTGTCATCGTCGTCCCGTCCCCCCCACTATTGATTATCATGGTGCATTTTTAAGTCTGGGGTTGGGAGTGCCTAGTAATGTTTATTAAGAATAACCAACGCGTTTTGGGGAATTGGCCTCCCCCTTCTTTAGGGCTGAAAACATATGAAATGTAATTAAAACAAGTTCCACTTTATTAGCTGTACTTTCCATTTCTTAAAATTTTGATCTAAAACATGTTTTTTTACCACTTCAAAAATTGACCGCTGATGTTCACAATATGCACATTTCCAAACTTCTGATTGGAAAAGCACTTACTGGTCACATAACACAATGATCACCTGACCACATGCAAATAGACTAAAAGTCACATGATACCTTGTGCGCTTCTGGAATAGTACATGTGTCTTCTGTTCTCCTTTCCTAATCTTTCTGCATTGGAAGGCCAAACTTTTTGTCAATAAACTTTATTACCTAGGTCCTTCCTCCCTGAGCTTCCTTTTTTTGGAGGCCTAAAATGTATTCCCAAGCTGTTTCTACTGATGCCTCCATCGTCAGCTTCTGGCATTGGGGAACCAGCCTTTACCCCACTTTTTTTTTTTACTACAGTGCTCTAACAAATTGATATAATCACATGCAGCCCGGACACTAGTGGGGCTAGGCTTCTCTGCCTTTTGGCTAAGATCAAGTGTAGTATCTGTTCTTATCAGTTTCCAGTGGGGAAAAGAACCGTCCTGTTGGGGGGATGGTTACTTAGTACTCGCTGGAGCGAAGGCAGGGGTCGGTGAGTTCCTCTAGGGGAGCTTCCCGGCTCCGTAGCCTTCTGATGGGGATGAGTGCTTGCTCTGGTCTGGCTAGGGGGTTCGGAGGCGCAGAGGCCCATGGTGCTGTGCCCCCTGGGGGTGGCGTCCCAGGGTGTGCCAGAAAATCACTTGGGTGTAGGGGCCTCAAGGTGATTCACTGTCACTAGGTTACGGCACTTCCTGCTTTTTCTGCACTACGCCTCTTAGGGAGGCCTTATGGCTAGCTCGGGGCAATTTTTTGCTCCCCCCT